ACAGCGCGAAGTTGATGTATTTCCTCAGCGACCAGACACAGCGCCTTCACGACATGGCGGCAGCAACAATACTACAGTGAGAATAAAAGTTACGCGTTCTTTCTTTGCGTGAACATTTGGGTGGCGTTATGCAAATCTTCCCACATCGTGACGTAGATATGTGGGGGCGTGTTAGAACGAGCCGTTTTAGGTAGGCGTGGTTGACTCTTAACTTTTATTAAGAATATCTCTTTGGATTTGAGACTTTAGTCTTTGCAACTTTACAGATCTTCTTTATGCACCAATAACACTTGTAACACTCCAAAGAGAAAGGAAAAATTTAAATAGCATCATATGACCCCTTTAAGATATATTATTTTTAAGTAGACTCAAGTGAAATATGTTCAAAGTATTAATATGTTCATGTTAAAAATTTTAGTTTATGAACTGAATTGGCAGTTGGCTAATTTAAGGAAGCCGGCTTCTAGAAATGAAGAGTTTTAATTTAATCCATGGTATCTTTACAGTAAAATACTGTAAACTATACTGCAGTAAATAACTACACAATTAACAGTTAATTACTGTATTTTACTATTCTATATTGTTCCTCTTTACTTCAGTGATTCTGCTTGTTAACAGCAGGTTAACAGTATATACATATACTATGTATATTTACAATGCAAGGTTTTAGTGTAGATGTTTGACCTACAGTAACTAGCTGGCAACAGTGTTGCCAATATATTACTGTAAAAATGCCTGGTAAGGTCTAACAGTGTGAGTATCATCTGCATGACAGTGTCAACTAATTCCATGTTTCCCAATAATGTCTCCTAAAGGAAGCATGTACAAAAAAGCAGAGGACCTAAGACTGAGCCCTGCGGCACTCCATATTTACCTTGTGATTGATGACATTTCTTCATTAACTTGAAACAAAGTGGTAACGGTCAGATAAGCATAAATCCTTATCATGCTAATGCCAGTCCACTAATGCAAACAAAATTCTCTAACTTATTCAAGAGAATGTCATGATCTATCGTGTCAAAGACAGCAGTAAGATCCAGTAGTACTAGAATGTGGATGCAAGCACAGGGGTTTCGGACATACAGAAAAAACCTCTGTCAGTAGCCTGGACGGTATTAGGCAGGGCTCTTCAACTCCAGTCCTGGAGAGCCAGTGTACTGCTTAGTTTAGCACTAACCCTACCCAAACAAGATAAATAAGTTGTTTAGGATTACGTGCAAATTACAGACTGGTGTGTTTAATTGGTACTGGTTATAAAGTCTGCATGAAACTGGCCCTCCAGAATTGGAGTTGAAGATCCACCTTATTTTGCTACATGGATGACTACTGCAAAACTAATTTTTTATGTCTTAGTGCTAAACCATTTTAATAATAATGTCTTATTTTTATTTCCTGTAGGATGTAACTCAGATGGAGCTTCAGGGTCTACAGCCCAACACGCACTACACTGCACAGATTCAGGCCATCTCTTACTGGGGTCAGAATCGGCTCAAGAGCAGCCGAGCTCACCTCTCCTTCTTCACTGCTGCAGCCACCTGTAAGAACTCTGAACATCTGCACGCTTAGAAAGATTTAGATGCATGTTTGGAAAGTTCCAATTATAAAACTTCATAATTAATTGTTTTCAGATTGTGCGCCAATTTTGACATTCAATCAGTTTTATGGAGTATAAATTGAAAAGGTTGTAAATTAAGGGGTGTCAGAAATAAAATATTTGCTCTCTTTGTGTTGTCAATTACCCAATGTATTTAAGGTCCTGTCTGTGCTTTTTGAGGCTGTCTGGAATTGTATGTTCGTATTTCCCGGCTACGTGTGTGTGTTCCTTGTTCCATGGATGTTAATTAAATTCTCTTTGTTTGAAGTCAACTCCTCGTCTCCTCGTTCCTCGCTCCATGCTCCTCACAGTAGCGCAGTCCTGACAGAATACCAGACCATAAACAGTTACCTCCGTGTGTTCCCTCCGTTTTTGTTTCCCTTTTTACCCAGTGTTTTTTGTTTCCATAAATATATCTGTTATGCTGAACCGCCCTGAATACCTCCTCCTCCTGCTGGAGCAGGGGGAAAGATCGCTCGAGGGCCATACCAGACTGTTTCTGGCCCTCGCCGAACTCACCAGCTATCCGGACGACATGCTGATGGAGAGCCCGAGCTTGCCGTGGCCGATGAGCCATTGGCGCATGGAGCGACAGAGCAACGGATCGCCGCGTAGCCGGTGCTGCAAGTGACGTCAGTCAAGGTGCGAGAGCAGGCAACAGAGCCCGCCACGAGGGAGAATGCCATATACACAGAGAGCGCGGAGTGGAGCTCCGCCCACTGCACCGCGGCTGAGGGTGAGCTGATTATACAGCTGGAACTGCTGGACTTCGAGGGGGACCTTATAGACTGGCAAACAGAGCTGGAAGCCGACTTGCCCCCTCTCTACGCGCTCTGCACGTTCTATGACGCCTGCCTGAACACCGCGTGCAGAGCGCCATTGTCCAAGGATGGTCCTCGAGCGGATTTCGCCGCCTTCGTGGAGTGTATTCTGGCGAGAAATGGATTGCCATTCACCATCTGCCCCGTGAATGATCTCGCCGGATCCACTCCTGACCCAGTGCCCAGCCCACCATCTCCCCGCTGCGCGGAGCGCATGTCAGAGCCCACCTCTGACAGAGAGCCCGAGCTCACCAAGGCCGACGAGCCGTTGCCGCATGGAGCGACAGAGCAACGGATCACCGCGGAGCCGGAGCTGCAAATGACGTCAGTCAAGGTGCGAGAGCCGGCAACAGAGCCCGCCACGAGGGAGAATGCTGCGGACAAAGAGAGCGTGGAGTGGAGCACCACCCACTGCAGCGCGGCTGAGGGTGAGCTGATTATACAGCTGGGACCTCGTTCCTCGCTCCGTGCTCCTCACAGTAGCGTCTCGTGACACATACAGTATAAAGCTCATATTTTTGTTGAAGCACAAGAATTAGAGTGTAAAGAACTTTGTTTAATCGATGATGGTAAATCTCAAGGAAACATGCGATAGTCACATTTCAACCCAAAACATTTTAACCTTTGTAAAGAGATTAATGACAGTAGCCAGGTTTCCATCCAAAGTTGTGAATTTAACTTATGCGCAAAATTGGAATATCGCACAAAACATTTGCGAATAAAGCACTGTTTCCATCCAACGAGTCAAAGAGAACAAAATCGTCACTTCCTGATTAACTGGCACTAAATATCGCAAAAAAAAACTAGGAGAAGCCACTGAATATAATAATTTTCATATATAATAAATTACTTGCGCCTCAGAGCGAGCAGACGAAACAAAATAAATGCAGCGATTGCTTTCGGAGGTGGATGCTGCTGTTTGGGAACGCAGTCGTGTAAGATGCTTATACAGAAGTACTTTGACAACAGGCTTTGCTCAGGCTTTTCAGAATGATCATAACAACATTTCAGATGCTGTGCAACGAGATCGGTCCGCTGGATAGTCAGGTTTTGCTGTCCCATTGCGCAAAGTCACATGACTTTTTTGATGTGCATGGAGAAATTAATTCGGCAAATGCGTTTCCATCTCCTATTATTCACATTAACCCTTTTTCACACAAATCAAAAACCACCTCAAGCAAACGTAAAAACTTTTTAGTAAATTAATTGATTTTTTTTTTCTTTTCGAAATTTGCCATTTCCATGACTCGTTTCTGATGCGATACTTCAAAATGCACATAAAAGCAAGGTGATGGAAACATAGCTAGTGACATACAGTGGTTTTATTGAAGTTACCCTTTGTAAATTAGAGGCAGTACAACTAAATTTGTTGTAAAAGTCTGGTGCTAAAAATAGGCTTCATAAATTAGCCGGGTATTTTTGGTCACCAGGTTGTTTTTCGGTCACTTCCATGCCACATATGTAGTACTTAGTCATTAATTTAGAAAATTTTAATCTGAAAAGTTGCTTTTTAAAATAATAAAGACTATTGGGAAATGTAAGTGAATCTCCTATCTCATTCTAGCATCCTCAAATGGGAATGTCCACCTTTCCGGAGAGTTCTCCAATGAGATTCCCGTGTCCCATTCCTCTCCCAGTATCCTGAGGCTGGAAGCGGCCGCCCCTCATTATCACGACAACCAGCTGCAGGTCAAGGTCTTCTGGAAGAGCCGAATCACAGGCAAGTCAGCTTCTTTCTGCACTGGCATGTACACTAAGGACATACGTCTGAGGTCATTCGAAGTTTACGTCTCTGCAAAAATTGTCTCCTAACAAAAAACACGCTCACATGACTTCACACCGGTCACGCAAAGCGTATGTGTTTGTTGACAATCCATCGGATCCATGTGTGTCCTTAAACAAGTCACCGCCAAAGCAAAGCAACAGCATGACTGATGATTTATGGAAGAACGTTACCAAACATAAATATTATCTATCCGGCATAAAAAGACAATCTCGCAGGGATGTCCTCTCTAGACTCTTTCCAGCAGATTATTCACGATCTGCTTAGTACATGAGTTCCAAAAATACACATTTGGCAACATGATGGTCTTCAAAGAGAAGATTCCAGTCAAACCGCAAGTGCCCATAAATACAGGGTGTTGATTTACTGTTATCTCCTGGAAAGAAAGGCATGGAGAGTGATTTAATAATGCCGGTATGAGTGTGAAATCAAAAACAGATGAAGGGAGATGGCGACCTGACGCGGGTTCGAAGGAAGATGTCATGTTGCCTGCGTACAGAACAGGGAGCTCGGAGCAAAATGTAGCCGGTCCGTGAAAATGTGTTCATGCTGCCTCAGAAACAGAAAAACATTACCTACAACATTTCTTGTTTCTCAATGTTTCTTCCTGTAGAAAGCCAGAAGGATTCCAGTTCATATATTCTGAGATGGTTTCCTGAAGTTTGTGCCCATAATGTGACGAAAGGCGAGAAAACAGCCATAGTTCAGGTGTGTCTCATTGGTTTACAGTTTACTTTCTTGCCAAGAAGTCTGAAGGGGCCATTTTATTTATTTATTTATATGTATTTTATTTTATTTATTTTATTTTATACATTTTTATTTCACGTACATGTCTTAAATTTTTTATTTCACTTACATACTCTCATTTTCAGTCAAAAAAAGTCATGGTTTTTTTTTTTCTTTCAAAAAAGTCTTGATTTTTTTATGTACCAAGATATTAAAAGTAAAAAGTACTGATCGATGAACCTTATTTATTTATTTTGCAATTTTATATAATTAATCCCACAATAAGGGAGATTAGTTGATGACGACATAGAATATGTATCAGTCTACATCCAAGCAAACATTTTATTTTATTACCAAAACATACACTCTCAAAATCTGAAATTTTAAAAACACAATGTGTTTTTACTTATAATAACTTATATAACGTATTATATTTTACTTATAATAAGCATCTCAGGACAATATGTTTTTACTTATTATAATAAAAGTGTGCAAACAAGTCAAAATAATAAAATATTCAATTTCATTGAAATGAATCAGCTCGTTCATGAATCAGACATCGCTTTTGTGTCTCCGGTTTCTTTCAGCAACAATGTGATTTATTATGAAACACAGTGGAGTAAAAAGTATGATATTGTGCTTTGGAATGTACTGAAATGTTGAAATTGTAGTGAAATTTGCCAAAATATAATACTCTGATAAATTACAGATGTCTAAACAAAAACAAAAAAAATGTTGATGGTGGTTTTTGTATGGCAAGTACAATAGTCTGAGACCCTAAACGTAAAATTTGGCCACAGGAAAAAAACAATGTTTGGAAAGGTGAAAAAATGATGCCAGAATGTGGTGAACTATTAATTTAATGCCTCACAACCATCATATCGACTTGCATTTTATACTGCACAGATACTAATGCTAAAGAGTTGATGTCACTATCAAACCTGCATGTGACCCTTGAATTTACCCTCAGAAGGATTCTTGTTCCTGCATCTGATTTCTTTGTTCGCTGAAGTTTATGCAGCTGAATAGTGTAAGAGATAATGGCAGCACTGCCCACGAGCGCTGTATTTCCACACATGATCTGTCAACACTGGCAGCGGACACAATAGAAATGTGTGATATCATTATGGTACGGATGGGTTATCGGTTATCTGATTCATTTTCCACAGAGCATTTCTCATGTACTCTCTCGTTTCATTCTTAGCCACAGACGGTATACTGTTGTACTGAGGAATAACTCTGCTGTTTCTGCTCTTCAGGGAACACATTTTGTGATTACTGGCCTGCTGTTTGCCTGTAAGTACCGCGTGGCAGTGAAGCCCGTTACGGGACAAGAGCAGAGGTCAGAGGTCATGACCTCTGTAACCACCCCACTTTGCTCATCGCTGATGGGCCGACGGAAAAAACCTGTTGCCTGCGCCAGAGATGGTAAGATGATATCTAGCACAAAAGCTTTAATCACGCCACATTAGCTGGGTCAATCGCATAGAAATGTCACATTTCACCATAAAATCAAAAGGGGGAAAAAGAGAAGATATTCTCCATAAATAAATTAAGCCTCTTTTATTATTTTAATTGCAAACATTAAGTCCAGTTTTTATTAATGCAAAGCAAAAATAAAATAAAATAAAAATCTTATTGTGATTACTGTAATGTGTCCGGATGTCTTATTTTTGTTTGTTTGTCATTTTGATTATTCTCAATAGTGATTTAAACTAAAGTCAGCATAAATTAAAGGATGTACAACAATAATAACAACAAAAAATAATTTAATACAATAAAATTATAGAATAAAATATTACACAATTACAGTAATATCAGACTGAAAAAAAACAGCTTTATCCTAAAAATTACCCTCAAAATAGGCTTATTGTTTTTAAATGTTAAAAAAAGGTTAAAAGCCATATAGTTATAATTACAAGTCAAAATAATAGTAATAATAAATAAATACATATATACATAGAATGACAAAAATCTAAATTGTGACATTAAAAGTTAAAACTGACATAAAATGTAAAAAATTATGAGTCTATAATTCTGACATAAAACATTAAAATGATTAAATCTGAAGTCAAACCTATGGGATACTGACATAAAAGGCAAAATTGTGAGGTAAAAAGTAGATATAGAAGCTTGTATATCCAAACTGGAATTAAAAAGTCCTAATTATGACATGAAAAGTAAAGATTATTAAATAAAATGTCCTAATTATGACATTACATTAACTTTTTATGTCATAATTAGGCCTTTTTAATGTCATAATTTCAACATTTTATCTCATAATTTGTCATTATGATTATTTTTAAGTGATTATTTTGAACCTAGAATAAAAAAAATCTCCTTACTCCTAAAAATTACCCTTAAAATAGGCTTAATTAAAAAAAAAAAAAAAGTTAAAAGCCATAGTTATAGTTACAAGTCAAAAAATAATAATAATAATTTAAGAAATAAATAAATACATACATATATAACTGACAAAAATCAAAACTGTGACATTAAACGTGAAAACTGACATAAAATGTACAAATTATGAGGTAAAATCCATAATTCTGACATAAAACATTTCAATTATTAAATCTAAAGTCAAACCTATGGGATACTAAGTCATAATTATGACATAAAAGTCAAAATCGTGAGGTAAAAAGTAGATTTAGAAGATTGTATATCCAAATTGGAATGAAAAAGTCCTAATTATGATATAAAAAGTCATAGAATTTGGCCTTTTTAATGTTTGAGTTTGAGTTTGTAGTGAAATGTGAGCCAGACAGTTTGAGATCCCCCCAGATTTTTGCAACACATGACAGAATTTATGTATTTTATGGTTCATCCCAGTGCAATATGTTGCCGTAGAGCGCCGTCCTCAGGGTAAGAAAGGCCTGCAGCGGCCAGAGAAGCTGGCAGCATGGTTTCAGCCGGCGAACGGCTCGGTGCAGGCCGTGTTTAGCTGGCAGGTGTCTCCAGAGAGCACGGGACAGACCCCCATCACTGGATTCCAGCTCTCCTGGCTCAAAGTGTCCCGCAGCAGCACCAACGGCACGCTCGTCTCCCAAACACACCTCCTGCCCCCCGTGAGTCACACACACGCCTGACTGACCAATCACACAACACAGCAGCACTCTAAACACACTCAATATGAACCTGTGCCTCAGGATCAGCGCTCTCTGACAGTAGACGCGCTGCAGCCCCAGAGCGAGTACAGAGTGCAGCTGCAGGTCCTGTCTGGAGCAGGGCACGGACCCTCGGTGTCTAAGACCCTCCACACTCCTCACGTGAACGGCACACTCCTCTGAGGTACACCTCACACACCTCAGGGACACCTCAGTGACTGGACTCCAGCTGTAAATGTACTTCAAAAACACGTATTATCTATTATCATTAACCAAAACTAAAACATTTTCATTACTTCAAATAAAGTAAACATGAACTGAAATGAAATACTTTTTAAAATACTTTTTTTTTTTACTTCAGCTAGTCACTAAGGCAACATTTCTTACTTTCGTTTAGTTTAATGTTAAAGCACTGAAATAAACTGAAACTAAAATCGAAGAAAAACTGTGGACAAAAAGAAAAATGCGTTGTGCTTAAAATAAACTAAATTCTGATTTTAGTATTACTAAAATTGTAAGATCTGTGCAAGTGTCTGGATGTGGAATTTTGTCTCTTTTATGCGAATAAAACTATAGATATTTTGAAAAATAATAATAATAAAGACAAAAATATGCAACAAAGTGACTAAAACTTTAACTCAAATTAAAATGAAAACTGAAAATGTAAAGATTAAATCTATTTCAAAATATTTACAACAACTGTAATAGTTTATCAATGATACTAAAATAACACTGTTTCATACAAACAATAGCATAAACATATTTTTTTATGATGATCATGTTTTCAGTATCTGGTTTATTTAACCAAACAAAAAAAATAATAAAAAAAAATAAAATAATAATAATAATAATAAAAAAACTAAAAACAAACATTAGAAATTAAACATTAATTTCTAAAAACCATAAAACATGAAGCAGTTTTATTTCATAATAAATTATATTAGTGTTATTCAATTATCAAAATTGGTTCAGGGTTGTGAAATGTCCATAATATTCACAAACTGATAATTCATATTTTGAAAAAAAAGTCATAATATTAAACAGACACAACAACCTGAATATCCTAAGGGAAATATGTTATTATTCTTTTTAAAAATAGGATTTTAAAAAAACTATTAGTAATGAATATGAAAATTACATGTCTAGGCCTATTTGTTTAAAATTTGTTTAAAATAGCTTTTTTCCTTTTTATCATCTCTGACATACTTGTTTGTCATTGATCCAGATATATATATGATATTCAAAGAAAATGATGTGTGTAATAGAAGATGCAGCAAAAGAAACTCGCCCATTCTAGTCAACTTTTGAATAACAAAGTGTTAAAGACTGGATGAATGGAAGCAGAGGGGTACTAACAGTACACCACAGCAAACTAACATCAGGAGATGATGGCACTGGAGCTCTGCATGTGTAGACTGCAGATGAAACACAGCAGAGCCTCTTCAAACCTGTCAGACAAGAGCCTCAATACAGCAGGGAAACAACATTAACAGGAAGAGTTTAGCCAAAAGTAAAAGACCCTCTTGACGTTCCAAACCAGTTACATTTTCTCTCTTTTAAGCAACAAAATGTTTCGAAGAATATTCACGCTGTTTTTCTCTATACAATGAAAGCATAGAGTATCTAGGACTTCCAGGTTGAAGTCCATTTCTGCCACATATGGGGGGGAAAAATCATGCATTCGTAAATCATATTTTTGAAAAGTCATATTTTAAAAGTCTATTATGTCTTAAAAACTTTAAATTCTGACATAAAAAGTAAAATTTATGGGATGCTAAGTCAATTATTGGTAATCCAGTCGTTGACTGCTGGTTAAACTGCAGCTCTACCTTCACGGTTCAAACTGCAGATAGTCAAAATGATGAGATAAGAGGTATTGTTGGCATTAAGTTAACTAAGGCATTTTTATCTCAGAATTTTGACAGTTAGAATCCGAGCTGTAATTTTATCTCACAAATTCATGTTTTATGTGATAATTATGACTTCTTTTCTCATAATTTTGACTTTTTATGTTAATTTAGACTTTTACCTCATGATTTCAACTGTCATAATTTTGACTTTTACCTCATGATCATTGAACGTGTCTCATAATTATGACTTGGTATTTTGAATCGGTCTTCGGGGTGATGGAGACTGCTCTGGATTGGCTCAGATCCTATTTAACTCATTGTAGTCACTTTGTTTTTATGGTGTCCCTCAGGGCTCAATACTTGGTCCCTTGCTTTTCAGCATCTATATTTTTCCTCTTGGTCAATTATTAATACCTCTCGACCTTAACTACCATTTTTACGCCGACGATACGCAGATTTACATCCACTCAAACCCGGGTCAAGATGTGAACATTTCCCATCTTTCACATTGTATTTCTGAGATTAAGTTATGGATGTCTGACAATTTCTTGTGTTTGAATAGTTCCAAAACAGAAGTTATGCTTCTCGGCTCTCCCCATAAATTGCGTAATGCTGGATCTTTAGCTTTGTCTGTTGACGGTGTTGCTCTGGAGTTACAAAGTAAATTAAAAAGTAAAGTGTAAAGAAAAAAAGAGGCAATGTTTTGAAAATTTGTGTAAGCAGTTGAAAAAAAACCTGTAACAAACTTCAATATTTACTAAATTTGGCAGCTATAGAATTCTGTCTGGGGCCAGGGTTGTTGATCATATAAGTCCTGTTTTGGAATTGTTGCATTGGCTCCCGCTAAGATTCCGAATTGATTTTAAAGTTCTTGTGTTAACATACAAGGCACTGCATGGTCTGGCTCCTCAGACTTGGCTGAGCTTTTAATTCCTTATACACCCAGTCGCAACTTGCGATCTTCTCAGAGTGGTCTTTTAGTCGTTCCTAAAACACGGCTGCGTTCTAGGGGTGATCGGGCCTTTTCATCTTACGCCCCCAAATTGTGGAATTCTCTCCCGGCTGACATCAGAGAAGCAAATTCGTTAGGTATTTTTAAATCTCATCTTAAAACGTTCTATTTCCGACTTGCTTTTAACTGATTGTCATTCTGTATTTTTGTGTTCTAATTTGGCTTGTGTTTGCTTGTGTTGTAAAGCGCTTTGAGAAAGCACCCTTTTAAAGGCACTATACAAAATAAATGTATTATTATTATTATATTGGTACACCATCATTTTGACTTTTTATCTTATAAATATGACATTGTTTCCATTTATATAATGTTTATAAAATCTCCTTTTTTCCCTCATGTGGCAGAAACAAGTAGCCATACTTTCAATCAAAAAATTCTATACATGAAGTAGTTCATAAGTCTTTTGAGATCACGCATTTGAGATGATTTTTGAGCTTTGATTGAGAAACAGCCAAATTCCAGCTGATGTTCGCTGATTCTCTGCAGCAGCTCACTATAGCAATGGCTAATAATGTTATATTTTTTACAGATGGAGGAAAGAAGTGAGGAATCAAGCTACTCTTATATGATACAGTGCTTGTGTTGCTCCTCATTTGGACAGGTGTGTCTGTTAAAGGACTAAATGTAAAGCACTCTTCATCATCAGAGAGACAGTGTCTGCTGTTATGGAGTCGGTGTAATGGGACGAGAGCACTCGCACCAGACCGGCGTGATCACAGAAGAAAACAACATCGACGTGAAGGCTTTAGATCGGTGTACTGTAATATAGGAATGATGAATAACCAAATTATGCTTTTGTTATGCAAAAAATTAGTAGCACTGATGTATTTAGTATGTAGTTGCATATAGTTATGCGCCACATTATTTTATTAACATTTGTTTTTCATACAGAAGTTTAATGTGCTTTTACTCAATGGGCCTCATTCATGAAACACAAGCAGTATGAATGTCTTAAAAGCTTGTGAAACCCCACATGAAAAAATACTATAGTAATTTATAGTAAATGCTATAGTGTTTTGAACCATATTATAGTAGAGTGTATTATACTTTATATATTATAGTATTTATTTACAACACTTTGAATTTGAATGCTACAGCATACTATAATGAACTGATAAACTGTAATAAATACTGTAGTGGGCCTATACTTCAGTTGTAGAAAACTTAGTACAGTATTGGGTAAAGTAATTTGTTTATATTACTATAGTTTTTATATTACCACAGCAACTATAGAATTACCACAACAAATTAATTCAAGTACTTTACTATAGTATGGTTCAAAAACACTATAGTATTTACTATAAATTACTATAGTATTTTATCATGTGGGGTTTCACAAGCTTTTAAGACATTCATACTGCTTGTGTTTCATGAATGAGGCCCATTGAGTAAAAGCACATTAAACTTCTGTATGAAAAACAAATGTTAATAAAATAATGTGGCGCATAACTATATGCAACTCCATACTAAATACATCAGTGCTACTAATTTTTTGCATAACAAAAGCATAATTTGGTTATTCATCATTCCTATATTACAGTACACCGATCTAAAGCCTTCACGTCGATGTTGTTTTCTTCTGTGATCACGCCGGTCTGGTGCGAGTGCTCTCGTCCCATTACACCGACTCCATAACAGCAGACACTGTCTCTCTGATGATGAAGAGTGCTTTACATTTAGTCCTTTAACAGACACACCTGTCCAAATGAGGAGCAACACAAGCACTGTATCATATAAGAGTAGCTTGATTCCTCATTTTTTCATTCTTGGGTAAATTGGCCTTCTTTTACATTACTTTTATTAATTTAGAAGACACTTTTTTCCCAGAAATGCATACATCAACATCATATATATTTTGATCATATTTCTTCCTTGAGAATCAAACTCATGATCAGCAAAGTTCACTTTACGAACAGTTTACGCAGAACTTCGTTCCGCTCGTGTTTCATGAATAATGCCTACTATAAATATTTTTAATTGAACAAGTAATGTAATATATTAAATTTCAACACTACATCTCTAACCTGGTTATCAACCCTGTGTGGAATTAATCTCAGATCACGTCATTTGAACAGGGTTATTTCTGAACCACAGCACGTCTGATTTTATTTATTGTGAGTGTAATTCATTAATCTCAAGCATAAGTGCCTTATACTGTATCAGTTATATCAGGCTAGATCAGATTGATTTACTGCAACATGTGTCTCTGCTTTAACTGTCCATCTGTCTTTACAAATCACTCACAGCATACAAACAACAAATGAGCTGGGATACTGCTGCTTTAATTAGCCACAATGATTTTGAAAGATATATCTTTGTACAATACAGCATACAGTTTTTATAAATATTGAATTTGATGTATTATCTATGGTTTGTTGTCATTACTAATAGGCTACACGAGGCTAAATGAAGCTCCACACTTCTCGTTTCTGAATATATATGTTCGTCAAGAGAATATAAACTGAATATCAACAATAATATTCTTAGACTTAGAATATATACTTCGATTTAGACTCAGGTACACCACAATCATAAAATTGTGTTCTAAAAACGTTTTGCTAATGTTCTCATTCAATTATGAAATTATATTTCTGAATGTTGTCTGAACATACAAAATACCCAGGTTTTTTTTTTTTTTTATGTAGCCTATTAAAACATTTTTCTTATCTGTGTGAACATTACAGAATACATTAAGTAAATGTTCCATTTTATTATTTTGCAAACATGATGGGAATGCTTGAAACACAGTAACGTTTAAAAAGCATTGAACAAACGTCAAGCTAAAACATGTCAAGTCAAGTCAAGTCACCTTTATTTATATAGCGCTTTTAACAATACAGATTGTATCAAAGCAACTGAACAGCATTAATTAGGAAAATAGTGTGTGAATAATGCAAAATGATAATAGTAAACACTCAATTTTCAGTTAAAGGCAGTTCATCATTGAATTCAGTGCTCAGTTCAGTTTAAATAGTGTCTGTGCAATCAAGTCGACGATATCGCTGGATATTAAAGGTCCCCTGAAGTGCCTTGAAACACGCTGCGTTATTCTATGTGGTGACATAATTTCAACTGAAACAGGAAGACAGGGCGGGACATATCGGGCAGCCCCGCCCCCCTTTTTAAATAAGCCAATAGCGTTTTGTTTATATCTGCACGGGTCAGAGCCGTTGAGCTCGGTAAAGCCGCATTTGACAGCCACAGTCTAATAGATTACCCCCTAGATTCAATATGAAACTCTTAGTAAAACAAAATAGTGATCATAATCATGTCGAGGCTGTGTAGTTTTAAAAGTGTTTAATAATATGCCGACTCGCGCATATGATCCGCTCCGTGCTATCGCGTCTCTGGACCTGAGCCAAAGTCCAGATCAGACTGTGTGCGCTGCCGCAGTTCGCGTGACACAACGTGAAACCAGACCTCATTTGCCCCAATCAAAAGCATACACTGTTTGAATCGTTCCCTCTCACCTACATTGTGCAATACGTGCCATTCACTGTACAGGAAACACTACACCGTGAACAAGCAACCGATCTCAGCCGCAGCTTCAGCGTATATTTATAGTGTAGGGGGCAGGCGCTTCGGCTTCTAGAGAGTGTTTGATCAAAGTAAGAGGTATGGCCCATCCCTAGTATACTTGCTCAGTACTTCCTAACCGTCGACACACTCGTTAGCGCGCGCTGCCTCATTTCAAATATCCCGAGGAAACACAAAACATTTTTGACCAAATCACGGAAGACAGACGCAGACTGTCGCCGAACTCACCGTCGCTTCTTCTCAAGTTTTCTCACACCACTTGCTGGTGAAAGGTAGGTGTTTTCTTCAGACCAGTTTCCCTACGGATTTTAAATGTGAGGCGCTAAAACCCGGGACAAACCGTGAACCGTATGGATTTAACACGGAATGCCTTTATTTTCCTTTTGAATACGTGATGATTCCGTAATATATGAGCTTGCTGTTATCACCACTTAATAAAAATAGCGTTAAATACTCTCATTAATGGTTCATCCGCGAACGAACCGATTTGACCCAGTGTAACGCTATCTATTATAATTTAAAGGCATTTTTTATTACAGCAGAGAATGAAAAAAACGCCTAAATTCAATCTGTTCATCATATAAAGCGATCGAGTGTCTTTATGAGTCTCTTTATGATCGAGTCCTCTTTGTTTTTAAGCGACAGAGTGGTATTTATGTAGACTGTCAATGGAGGGACAGAAATCTCTCAAGATTTCATTACACGGTATTCAAATACACAGTACTATAGAATCAAAGATGCAGAAAGTGAATATCATGTGTGCAAATAACTCACCAGTGGAGACAGAGAGCAGCAGAGCTCATCCGTCGAGTAGCACTGCTGTTTCAGCTGAGAAGTATCCTGAACAACAAAACAACCCAACAGGTAACTGTCAATGTTAATACAAATCAAAGCTGACATGTATACAGAAATAATAGTAGGAGACTATTACTGTGTGACTTCTGTGTAGCACAGCATCAGCACTGAGTCTCTTCCAGAAACATGAACTTCAGTGCAAAACCTGCTAATTATTCACTTGAACTAACAACATAAAGCAGCTCTACATTAGGAAAGAAGTTAATCATTCAGCTGTAATCAACCCAACAGATGATCCTGAACAACAAAACAACCCAACAGGTGATCCTGAACAACAAAACAACCCAACAGATAACTGACAACGTTAATGCAAATCAAAACTAGGGGTGTGAATCAGCACTGGTTTCACGATTCGATTAGTTTACGCTTATGTCAACGATTCAATTCAATTTGATATCACGATGCATCACAATCATATCAAATTTATTTTGTGCATTTTTATGAAATTATATAAGCAGGCTACTTTTAAAAATGATCACAAATTAGTTTAGGAGATTTGAAATTGGTTAGGAGTCAGCTAACCTTTGGGCAATCTCTTTTCTTTAGGATGAGTTTCTCAAACCTATGTGTGAAGAGGCAACTACGATGTTGATGCTGCAAAGGCCTCCGTTCTGCGACCATGTCATACAGTTATATGACTGGTTTATCATGGAGGAACAGAATGTCTTGATAATGGAAAATCCGCATCCCTGTGTGACCTTGTGTAAGTTCATCAAAAAAAACAGAGGTCACCTGAGTGAAGAAGAGGCAAGACTCATCATGTGGCAGCTCGCCGTTGCTCTGCGTCACTGCTGGGATCGTGGTATTTTTCATGAAACAGATCTGAGTAATATTCTCATCAACACGGACACCCAGCAGTTAAAGATAATGGACTTTAGATACGCAGAGCACATCATAAAAAAACGTAAGTTGGCTTTCTGAACACAGATCACCGACTCGTTTGTTACAGTTCACTGATGATGCTTTACTAAACTCTGGAAATGTGTTGTTTACAGGAAGTGAAGAAGCTTATTTAGAGGCAAGGCTCAGAGTGCCTGCTAAATTGCAAGCAGCTGAAAACTTATACTTCGTGCTGGATGCGCTCATCGAAACAATAAGACATCCGTTTTGGAAAAAAGCACACCTGTCCAGAGGTGAGACCAGTGACAAGAACACAATGGAAATAACATTGCTTGAAAAACATATAAAGCTCAGACACAAGTGACGGTAAAAGATTAGTGTTGAATGAGCAAAGTGTAAAACATTGACAAATTACACTGAATGTTTAG